ATTTTGTCCTTTTCTACATCTTTTCCTGATTAGTTTTATCGTAATTAATTTTATTTAAAAAACACTTTCCTAGACGATGAAACATCGACGATTTAATACGAGTGCCTTCGATCTGATACTGCAAGTTGGTGTGGTAAGATTTAAATCGACCTATTCGTATCGGACAAGATACCAAAATGAGACTCAGCATAACATATTGTTAACAGTCCCGTTGAATTATCGAAAATAAAATCAATTTTTTCTTTTTTCTTTATCTAATAATATTATGTAGTAATAGCAGTAAGCTGCGTCGTATAAATTTAAGACTTAAGGCAATTCAACCGGGTTTCAACTATTATAATCTTATTATGCTCCAATTTTAATTGAATCAACTTCATTAAATTATTTATATTGCACAGTCATTAAATAAATTATTTCAATAATTATAAACTGCATTAAAATATCGTAAACTTAACTAATAATCATGAAATGTTAATTTTCAAATAAAGGTTTTTAATTGTATTTTTTAATTTATATATGAATACATTTTATAAATAAACTGTATTACTTATATACTTATATTTATTATGTATTGTAATATTTATAATAATATACTCAATTTAAGTTAAATATAGTAACAACTTTATTTAATTAATCATGCATAATTATGTTTAAAATAACTTAATTTTAACTTATTGTTCCTTTAATATGATATCTATTGTCAAAATTTGAGTGCCGCTTTTAATATTTATAATTTTACAATTTGATTTAACACAATTTTTACATGTAGTTATTTATTTATATTTATTCATAAATGATTTTTTTTTTTGTATGATTTTATTTTAAATGATATATAATACATGCAATAGACACATTTTAACGCCTGCGTCTAAAGTATTAATTTCTGTTACATCTTTAATATCAGGGTATAAATTTAAAAATACATAAAACTTTGATGAGTAGACGGTGATCAAACGATCGATTCTGGTTCATTATCTTTAAAATGCTATACTAAAATGAATTAATTACGTTAAAATTAATAGTTATTCCACTAGTTAAACGAATTTGTCCAAATATTTATAGCTCCGTATGAAATGGACCCTATTGTATTTTTCAATTTATAGCTTCGTGTGTGATTAATTTAGGATGAACCGTATTTTATGTTTTATTGTTATTTTACTATTATTTTTGTCTTTGGCTACAGTTTTTAATCACATTTACAATAACTATTTTTGATATAATTTGCACGTTATATAATAATTACTGTATGTTAATATATTTAGTGTATTAGAGTAAGCATAAATGTTAGTTGTACAAAACGATGTTTTTATAATTTGCATCAAAATACATTTTTAACGTGTTATGCGAGTAGTGAGTGATTCAAATTATTTTAAGATGCTGTGGGTTTTAGACTAAAACTTTTACTATGGCACAGTAATTCAAATCTTCATTGTCAAAAACATATGGCATATGGAAAATTGAAAATATGTTATTATAATATAATATTTTATCATTATTAAACAATAATATGAAATTTCAAAATGTATTTTAAAAGTTTTGTTATTTTATTTATTTAATTAATCGATTATTTTATTATTAGAAAGCATTTGAAAAACACTGAAAAATTCTATTATTATTCGTTGAACCATTGGAAGCAGTATTTAATTTTAATGCCAATTCGTATGCATTCTAAAAATCGTTTTTCGTGTAGACATATATATATATATATATATTGGTGGGAATGGAAGGTATTTGAATGACGCATACAGCGTATAAAAGTAAATTGATATTATAGGTCTTGGGTTGTTACGATTATATTGATTTAATCCGATTGGATGATTCACGTAAAAATCAATGAATGAGTGGTGAAAATGATTTTCCGTAATGCTTCGGCCGTGAATCGAGATTAAATATTGATACAACTCTGAAAATATAAACTTACTGGGTTTATAATATTGATGACAGTAGCGATGATCATTTGATTCTGAACTACAATTTTTGGCTAGTGATGAGGTCAATTTATAAATTTCTAGCCGAACTTAATGACTTACTGATAAACTAAATTTGATGACGATGACGGTACGAGTACATTAATCCAAAATCCATTTCAATAAAATGTATGAAATTAAAAATAAAATCATAACCCGTGTTCATGAATGGTAATGGAGAAAAACCCGTGTCGACCGAGGGTGAGCTAGGGGATTTCGTTTCATCGGTTGACGCAGCTGAAAGTGAAGCGGCCGAGCGTATGTTAATATTATAATATGAGGCCAAAGCCTCGCGGCCATACACCGGATCCTCGTTAACTCTTAAATTATTATTTTTTAATTCCGAACAATATTTTTCACCGTCACTGTGTTATTTTCGATGATGAAATACCGGGACATGTCGTTGTAGCGAATTCGATAGAACCGAACAACGTGAATACTGTTGCATAATATTAGCTGGCTCTTCGTGACGTGCCCGTTAGACGACGGGTCAATACTTCCGTAATGTAGTTTTATTTTTTTTATACCGTCGTACATGGCTAACTTCCTCAACCACTATGCGTTGAAATAGGTACCGTGGTCGATTTTAAAATTTCAATAACGGAACGTAACAGATTACTCAAAAAAAGTTCATATCATGTTTAATTATCGAAATTATTAATAACCACGTGGTTACGTCAAAGCATACATTTTTCTTCGCTTTTAAAACGGGATTTATATCATTTTCATATTTTGTCTGTTTCATTTAATATTTTCACTAGAAATTACACTACATATTATTTACATTATCTATTACAATGATTCCACTCCCTGGTGCGACAAAATGACCGATTGCATTGTCACGGAATAAAAAACGTGTAACCATAGAAACAAACAAATCAACAATTATTTATAGGTATTACATTTAAATATGACCGTTTTCTTGGCCGAGTGTACATTTACGATGTTGAATTGATTTTAGTGACAATGGGGCTAAAACAAAAATAATTATTGACAACCATATCATAGTTTTGTTAATTTTACACAGCAACTAATAATAATCATAACGCAGTTTTCAAAATAAATGTAGATTTAAGATATCTTTCAAACGGAATAGGTGCAATAACTATTATATTTAATGGTCACGCGAGGTTACTACTATTTCATAATGTGTCATGTTATATCCTTTCATCGCGCTCAGATTTATTTTGATTTATCACACACACATACAAATACACTTAAAATATATTAAAACTATTCATCTATTTTCGATATGATGGGGAGGTGCTGCTTTCTCATTGAAGTTTGAAAATCTTATATCAGTGTTGGTTGTGTACGAATTAATATTTGAATTTTTTTCGATTGTGGTACAAAAGCCGGAGAAGGAGGATAAAAAAAAAAATGGTTTAATACAGCTCTAAAGCCGCTTTAAATAATGTATTGAGGACGACTATATTGTGGTTGCCATTATAATAATATATTAAGATCGTTTAGTTATTTTCACCGTATAAAAGTTTTTGATTTTTATGTTGTGTTTTGTAATTATTATACGTTTTGAAACAATCGAATTATGAACAATTTATTATAAACGGTTGAAATGTATTCGGCGACGATAAAGGACGGCACGAGTTGAATATCTGTTACAGCAGTCGCGGTTGATGAAATTGACCAGGGCCAACTAAAGGAGAAAAAAGGATCAATTTTTTTTTCGCAATCGTCATAATGCCCGTCATAAGAATGCGTTTCGACTGGTGAGCGGTCGTTGCACGACCCCGTAAACTTCTCCCGCCATCACCAGACAGTGGGTTGCAATTAACGGTCAAAATCATTATGGCATTGTGCGCGCACGCGCGTACGCTACGCACATCCAAGGAACAAAGACGTGCGTCTTTCTTTACGCGCGAAAAATGATTTTTCCCGGGACGGCCATTCGGAACGATACGTCAAGTTGTCCGTTTTCTTCATTCTCTGCTGATTCCAGTTATTTACGTATTATTATTAATGTTCTCGGTTTTCCAATAAGCATTTTATTAACATTTCACTGAAGCGTGATGCCGTTGTGTATAATTTAATTATGGTTAGTATATTAATATAAATTTACATGATTGCCGTTTGTTTATCATTTTGATCGCACAATTTTCAAGTTTTATCTCCAATAAACGTCACTCCACTACCGTTGGCCATACACTCAGAGTGGCTGTAGTGTTCTTTCGTATTTGCATTTATCTGTAGCAAGTCGAGTTCAGTGACGTAATTGGGATAATTTTTCAGGGGTTGAGGAAGGAAAAGTGTGTGCATTTGATTTTGATATATTCACGTCAAGACGTTCTAAAAATATAAAATAATTTGATCGATACGAAATTCAAACAACACAATCAAGGTACAATAATTATTGATTGTAAGTATAGATTTAATAATTTATTTTTTTGCTATCCATGATTGTACATAGTACCTATGCGGTACAAATGTGTTAGAAACTATTTCTATTGTAGTAACCAGAGGCGTATTTAGGGGAGTGATGTGGGTGTTAGAACACCCCCGATCGACCGTATTTTATGGTTGGGTTTCGCCAAATTGCAAACTTACTTACAGTATAATTTGAATAAACGTTGTATACAACTTGTAGATTTTACATATACTGTCTTAGTTTAATCATTTATATAAATACATAGTATTATTAATGTAATATGGGGGGGAGGCAGAGCCTCCCAATTACCATGAGTTGATTAAATTTTAAAAGAAGCCCGTTAAATGAATCCTGGATACGTCACTACTAGTAACATAAGTATTTGGTGGTAATACATGCACGGGCGAGTAGTCGTGATAACGGAATTTAATTTATAATCAGTTTCCGAAAACGGTATTGAAAAAAAGGAGCAAAGCCCTCGGGGCCAAACGCTCCAAATTACTTCTCCCCCTAAAAATACGCCATTGAATGGGTAGTGGGGTCGCGGCGTCGACGGCGGTGACGGCGTGGTACGCAATACGAAGAGCGTGGCCGTCGCGCCGGCTAACAGTACCACGGCGGCGGCGCGCGCGCGTTCCTCCGGGTGGGCGACTACCGCCGACTCACCACCGTCGCCGCCACGACATGCACACGCACGCCGTACACGCTCGGCGCAACCACCGTCGGCCGAAAGTCTCTCGTCCACGCCGTTCAGTCGCACAACTGTTGCTCGACCGACCGCGCCGCCGTTTGCCTCCCCTATCCTCCCACCCATCAGCATAGTGGCCGCGCACTGTCACTCGTTTCGTTATTAATATCCGCACTCGTTGCCGTATACCGTGTGCCGTGTGCGGTTATCGTTCTCCTCTCTCGACGTGACCCTCAGCTCACCCCCGTTTGTGCGATTTCCCGATCCGCCGTGTACGACGCGACGATAATAATACTATAAATAATATATTCGTGTAGTATTGTCCTATCGTCGTCATCCGTCGGGTTCGAAAATAGTGTTCAAAAATCGTTTTCCGTTACACCGTTCGCTAGTGTGCGATTTTCGCGCGCGTCTCGGTGTCATGCGGTACACGCGCGCGCGTCCGCATCTCGTCATCCGTCCTTGCGCGATCCCGTGTGTCCGACGATAATGCGATCGACGACTAGCAGGACGACCAGCCGGACGACCACAACGACCACGGCTACGACCAAGATGATGACGATGACGATACCGGCCGTAGTGGTCGGGCACGCGATTCGGATAATGTCGAAAACCTATTGAGACCGCCACCGCCACGTTTGAGTATTTACCCGTCGATCAGCGCGCAATACAGTCTGACGTAGTAATCGCTCGTCATAGCGATATTTACTGCAATACAGTGTAGGGTGCATATTAAAGGTATTAAACTGCTACATTATAGCTAGTGTTCGAAGTGGTGCTGATGGGGAAAACGTTTAACCGTCCCGTTAAATCTTGTGATTTTCGATTTTTTAGTTTTTTTCTCTCGAAAATTTTGATTTTAAATTATGACATGTATATTTAATTATTTTATTGCAATTTTTTTTTTTTACAACAACTATACTAGTAGTTACATGGATCTTATCGAAAAAAAATTAACACTCAACAACTCAATATATATTTCTTACGCTAACTTTTTATATTTTAAACAAGAAAGATCATGTCAATGTGTTTAGACGGTTTTTGAAAAAAAAATTCTCGCATATTTATTCAGATCCACTTCGACTGCTGTACACAAAGTGCGCGTGTCGCCCGTGAAATCAGGCACATTATTTCCGTATGACGACCACTAAGGCATTTTTCCGCATATATTTTATACGCCCGAGTAGACTTACTTTAGTAACCTTGATTTCGAAATTAATAAACTACTACGTTATACATAACGAATTTTGCACAGACGTATTCCAGTTACGGAATCGACCGATTATTCGGTCATTCGTGCGATACTGGCGGTAACGGGTGACGTACATGCACCAGCGCACGCACACGTATCTTATCCTTACCTCAATAAGAGGGCAAGACTTGAACCAGAAACTTTAGGTTCATCTGATGGGTTATTCGGAGAACAATTGTTAAATCAAAGCTCGAAAAAACAACAATGATAAAGATATAACGGATAACTTTTTTTTTTTTTTAAGTATCTAAATAATAAAATCTTCTCGTGTCCTTGCAGTCGGGAGCTGGTAAATTGGGTCTCATATGACCTTTTATAGGTAAATTGAGTTCCGCAAAAATATAGACAGTAGGTAAGTTGAGTCCCGGGAAAAAATAGGTAGTAAGTAAATTGGGTTCCAGCAAAAACAAATTAATTTTATTAATAATATACAAAAAAAAAAAAAAAATAATTAAAAACCTACATGTTATAAAATATAAGAAATAATTAATTATAAATTATGCGATTGGTAAAAACTTAAATGATATGGATTGAACAAACTCAAATCGGGTTATTATATTATTTGTGTACTTTGTCATTTGCTCCTTATTTTATGTTTTTATCCAGCATAATTTTCTTTTTTTGATTTGTACTTCGTAATTTTACTTTTATCTCTTACTGTATTTCTAATAACTCGTCTACAAAGTTAAAAATATTAGGATGTAAAATAAAAGGTTTAATCGTGAATGATATTATTCATAGCTATTAGTTGTACACACGGTGGTAGCATAAAATCGAGACCAAATATTTGGGGGAAATTTAGAATCAGCTGAGATATACTCGTAAATATCTAGTACATAATCACAAAATATCTACCGATTATTTCTTCTAAGATTAGTAATAGCAGCCAATTGTGTCTTAAAATATAACCTATTAATTCATTTCGCCTTTTCTGTATACTCTTTCATATTGATTTCCTTTCAGATATCCTTCCTAAAACTTCTTCATTAGTGATTCTGTCAGTCAAACTTATCTTTTTCATCCTCCTGCAGCACCGTATAATATACATATTTTAACTAGGCGTAACCAAAGATTATATTGGCATTTTATCGTTGAAAATGAATCAGATTATTAGCTAGGGCCCAATTTACCTACTACTTTTTTTTTTTCCAGGGACTTAACTTACCGCTTTCAAAAAGTACCCAAATTATCGTGGACCCAATTTACCTAGCCCCCCCCCCCCGCATTCGTAGTTTATCCGACGTGTGTGGTGCTATACTTTTATTGTAACTTAACAAACGCGATTATTCGTTTAACCGATCGATAACGTACGCGTTCCGTACGAGTTGAAGGATTTTTACCGTGGCATGCCGATATGTCATAATATTATTATTATGCTCGCTGTCTGGAAATCGATATTCTTTCACGACACAAAAATGGCTTATTAACGACGGATTAAATTACACGTATTACTTTGACGTAATGTCGTGAATAATGTGCATAATAATATTGAAGTCACGGGTGAAAATAAAACTGTTAAGTATCATTTCCCATAGTTGAAGAAATGCGGGAACGAAATTTAAACGTGGTAGTATTCTTTTATTATTATTTCTTTATTATCATTTGTTTGGACGACATCGTTTTTTTTCACACCACACAATAATGAGGTCATATTAATAGTATCACAATTTATTGTCTTGAATACTATCATATTGTGTCTGAAAGAAAGATATGAAAAATGTTCAATGCGTGTAACATCTTTTAGACTATTCGTTTTGAAAAAACTATTTGGTTAGCTTTTAACTTTACGCGTCAATAGTAGTTATAAGCACTTTCCGGTTAATTCTTACTCACTTTAAGCGGTAGTATGACCATAAATCATTAACCATTTAATTTCCAGTTATTAATGTAATTAACATACAATTCATAATTTATTATACTTTATTACTCGTGCGAGATCATAATTTCATCTCATTCTCATGCCAATTCAGTTGCCAATTTAAAAATAGTAGATATTGAAATCCGAAAGTTACTGTACTTGATAATAAATTAAAACCCACCTTTATTCTAAGTTCTAAACATAACTTTTAGAAAATAGGAAGAAGTTGTTTAAAAAGGATTTAAAATTGAAAACTTATAAAATATATTCTCTGAAGTAAAGTTTTATTATTTTGTAATGAATTATGAAGATAACATTATAATTTAAGTATAACAAATAACAATTCAATTTAAAAACAAAATATATAACAGATAACAAAATAAAAATAAAAGAAACTCCTCGTTAAGTGTTAAAATTATTAGATACGTAATACAATTTAAGCATTGTTAAGGTTTTTTTTTTTACATATCATAATTAAAAAACAAATAAATATGAATACCTTTCCTTGTCTTCTTGATAAAATAGTAGACAAAACTCATAAAATTAAAATAAGAAATAAAAATATAATTAAGTTCATAACATATATAAATTATAAAATGGTAATTTTTATTTTTCAGTTAAATTCAGACTTCAGTTAGTTACATATAATATATATTATACTTTGGTTAGTAACAATTTGGTTAAATTTTAAAAATCATCACAAGCTAAAGTATCTGAAGAATCCATGTTGGGTTGATTTGATTTTACATTCAGAAACCTATGCACTTTTAACAACTTTGCTGCTGCTTCATGTCCCAATCGATTCCTTAACTTTATCCACACTAGACCAAAGGTAGAAAAATTATTTCAAGTAATGCTGAGCTTGGTGGAACACTTAATAAACTTGAAAAATATGAACATAATTCTGGAGGTAACCTAGCTGCTGTGCGGCTGCTCATTAAATTCCACCATAAACCAGGTTTATTTTTATATGTTTTCAATATCGAATCATGAAAAATTGATGAGGGAAAAAATGTTTTATCTTTTGCTTTAAAAGCTAGAAATGCAGGAAGGAAGTCTGGTTTATTATCAATAATCCATGTTTCGGCTTTTTCTTCATCGTTCACATTAAGTTTGCTACCTTTAACATTTTCATTAAATGAAAAATTAAAATCAATATTAAAATTTAAAACTATTATAATCATTCATGTTTAGATTTTCAATACCCATATAAAATAGATCCATTCAATTAGTAACTAAGAAAAATGGTTTAACTGCATCATCCATTCGTTTTTTTATTTGATTTACATAACTTTCCATAACCGGTGAATATAATAAGTCATGCCATCCATCGAGTGCACTTGATAATGAAGTACAGTCCCCTTGCATCTTAAAAGTGAAATAAACTATATTATTTATAAATCATAAAATATATTTAAATTAAAAAGTAAAAATATTTAAAAATTTAAAGTAGCTACTTAATGAATAATTTATAATAATGAAACTTAAAAGAAAACAAGTATTCTGTATTTTCATTTCAACATAATAATAAATTTATTTTACACTATTTTTTCTATTTCTAACTTAGAATGAATAAAATATGATATGATTTTATAAATATTGTACCTTATTCAACACAGAACCAACAAAAACTAGCTGTTCTTGAAGATTTAATGCTTCACGAAACAGCCCAACATTGTTTAAAATTCTACTTATTTGGTTATCCATCTCGTTCATGTATTGGTTGTTTATTTCTTGGTACTTATAAACAATTTTTATGAATGTCAACAGTTGACACTTGTGAGTTCCATCTAATACAGTTGGAAATTTGAGGACTCAGACCATTTTTATATTTTAACCATCACTAAAATATATATATAAATTACATTTTAAACTGTATTTTGAATTGCAACAAAAATCCTTGTATGATAATTTATTACAATATTATATAATATAAAAAGTTTTGTTTATATGTTGCTTATGGTGATTTCTAAAATACTCCTGCACCTTTACAATATTCCATAACATTGTACGTGGAGTTAATTCATTTTCAAGCAGATTGAGATAGTGTGCACTACAACTATAAATATATCTGGGTATTCAATTTTTATTTTCTGATGCATTAGCAACATTTTGTTCTCGTTATCAGTATAAATAGTAACACCTATACCAAAAAACAATGATTTAATGATAATTATTTTTATTTTTTTACATTGCAATTATTTTAAATTGTAGGAAAAAATTACTTTAATGGTTGTATAATATAATATAACAGAAAACTTCTAAACCAGGTATTAAATTAAAAATACTTACATTGTTATTGAAATCCTTTTTTATTAATTCTATATCGGCTTTTAATAGATTTATACAGTAATCTGCTGTTTTTCTTCAGATCCACAATCTTTAGTAGATAGCAATAATGTTTTGTGGTTGGTATTTACAAGTGTGCCTGTATGAATACTGGGTACAACTATTGGGTCATATCGTATAGAGGACCAACCATCTTGTAGAAGGGTTATTGCACATGTTGTAAGTTGTTTCTGCATTCGATTTGTCACATCAACAGCAGTATCATTTAGTAATGTATCAGCTAATTGCTTCCTATTGGGTGGTCGATAGCCAGGATGAATAGCATCAAACATTTCGGTG